TTCTCTTTATTGTTGATCAGAACTGATAATGGCCAAGAACCAACAATGATAAAAACAAGTGCGCTATTATACACTGTTTTTTGTATTTTCAATGTGGACATGCTCAGACGGTGGGTGAAAACCATTGGCCTCCAATCCATTGGTTATTATGAAAAGTTTGCGACTGCCCTACAACCTTCGTGTTCGATTGGAGTGCCTGAATCATCAAAAGAGCATCCAAAGAAAGAACACTGGATCAAAAACAAGGAAAAAAACTCACGCATTCTTTCCTTTTTTTCAGGCATACCCATCCGCTTCAACCTATACATGTCTGACACATTGGATACAAAAGACGTAGAAGCAAACAAGTATCCATTAATCCAGTAGGCCCATGAGCATGCCCTATCATTCTTTTCTCTTTCGTGCATTGTTCCTGGATCCCCTCAGACCTGTGGTTAGACATCAGACTCTTTCTCCAATTGAAAATACAAAAAAGTCTCATTCTCAATCTCACTCTTTCTGTGAACCAATTGGCCCTCTATCCCGTTCAATTGAGTGACAAAGTGTACTAGTATCCATTGAAAGAGAGCAACTACATCGATTGATTGCCCATCTCGGAATCGTTCTTATTTGTCACAATAGGAGAAAGAAGAAAAAAAGGGCAAAGAGGGCCGAAAAAAAAAAAAAAACAACATGTGCCAGTTCAAACTATGCATGATTGCCCTGCTGATTTAAAAGAGACAGAGATGGACAGGTCTTCATCCAAAAAGCGAAAGTCAATATGGCCGAGCGGTTAAGGCGTATGACTAGAAATCATATGGGTTCTCCCGCGCAGGTTCAAATCCTGCTGTTGACGCTATCTTTTTGCCTCTTTCGAGGTCGAATCTCTTTTTGCTTTTTTGCTCCTCCGATCCATAGGCGGCTGTAGCCTCCACCTATGTCTTCGCTCTATTTTTTTGCCTCCTTTCTCTTTTTGCTCCGTGTCCTTGGACCTCATTGTGCAATTGACACGATGAGCTAACCTCACTCCCTCTTTTTTTTTGGTCTGTGGAGTACCTGAGTTGATACATGTCAATCCACTCGAGATCTGAGTGTTGCTTCTTCCTATATCGTCACTCTCCCATTTTATTTCATCTAGTGACACGTTCCCTCCTTTTTTGATGCGTTCTCCTTCTATCTCGGTCATTTTCCTTTTCGTCTCAACGCGTTTAGCTCGCTCGTACTTTTCTTTTTCGTCTGTGGAGTATCTGATTTCCTTCTCAATGCACTACTTTTGCATATCTGTCGCGTCCGCCTTTGCCTTCACTTTCTTTTTCGCTCCATCAACCAACTGACGCGTTCCTTTCTTTTTTTGACATCTCTTCCATTGAGATTCTTTTGTAGCAGTTATGGTGATATCTTGTTTTCGTCTATTGAGCAACTGAATTGACATCCTAATGAATGCGCGCATTTCAACACTTGTATCCAAGTGTCGCGTCCGTTCACCTTCATTCTTTTACTACTTCATTTGGTGTTTTCTCGCTTCATCTCGATCTACATAAACAAAAATGTCTACATCATCTACTCCTCCTTGGTCTCAGTCTTTGATGCTTTCGTCTTCTCAAACACTACAACCACACCTTCCATGAAGATGAGGGTCTCGAGAGCGTCAACAGCACCCTTTCTGTTGGAGCGGAAGGTAAGCAGCAGGTTAGCATTCACCATGAAATCATGGACAATTCCGTGAAAAGTCTCATAGTGGTAGTGCTCCAGCTTACTCTCAAAGATACGCATCTGCATATACAAGGCATCGTCCTCCTGAAGGGTGACCGTGATCTTGCCATAGACTGGATGGGTATACTCGCCGGCATATGCGGGCAGCTTGTGGACGTGATGTGTGTTCTTGATCCGATCGGGAATGTCGTTCTTGAATATCCGGGCATACGAGTCGTAGGTTCTTTGAGTCCTTTTGGCCGTAAACTCGTAAATCCAGTCCTCGGTCTTGGGCAGGCCCAAGATGCCGTCCGCAATGTACCAGGCCAGGTTCGTGGGAATATCAGTCACCATGATGTTGGCCAAAGTGGCAACGACCAGATCGTCATCAGGGAAGAGATGCAAGCTGGATCTGTAGCCAGGGTTGGAGCCACCTAATTGTTGGAACAATTAGATACAATTGAAAAGAGTTGGATTGGACATGGTATCGATAGCATTGTGGGATGCAGTCAAAAGTGAGTAATAATGATGGTGCGCTTACCATGATGAATGACGTTGTGTCCCTTGTACGCGTCCAAGTACCAGCCATAGCCATATCCTGTAGTATACGCAAATTCAGGTCTGCGTTCCAAAGTCTCCATGATGCTGTGGGGTTTCATGGCCTCCTGGACACTCTCTTTGTTAAGGACTTGTTTGCCATCGAGCTCGCCCTCCTTCAAGATGACTCTCCCCCATTTGGTCAGTTCCAGCACGTTCATACAGACATTTGTGAATCTGAGACCGTTAGAGTTATCAACTGATCTTCATCGGTGAAGCTTGAAGATCATGTTGTCGCGCTCATCAAGGCCTGTTTCTGCTTTGCCAGTTTCCTCTTGCTTCGGTGCGCCATTCTTTATTTGGCGCTGAGAATGGTGTGGCGCAGACTCCAGGAGTATTTGCTCTTCACTCTCACCTTGCCCACATCTCAGAACCATGTGCACAGCCCAATCATTGACACCTTTTTATGGAATCGATTGTTTTTCCCTTTTTGGGCGACCATCACCTCTTCCATTGGGAACATCCTCTTCTTTCTTTTCATTCCTCTCATCCCTTTCATTCCTCTCATTCTTCATCTACCCTTGCATCTCCAACATCTCATTCCCCATTCACCTCACTTGTGAATCACTACCAGACCGTGTTCATTGTGTTTTGTTGTGCAGCTCATTGCAAACACACACACGGTCGTACAGACCTAAAAAAAGCCTTCACACGACGCTTTCATCTCACCCTCGATCTTTTAACAAACTCATCCGACAACAAACCCAAAGCATCCTTCACCGGCTCAAACTATTCTCACCTCGAAACTCAAGCAAGCTATCCCAATCTCATGTAAGGATTTGTTCCATTTGCTATTATTTTTGCTATCGACAAAGGTCAACTTGAACGCGAACTGACTTTTTCTATGATGTTTATTGGATAACTCTCACTTGTCCAGCCCGAAATGCAGGCCGCTAGTCGTGTCTTCAGAATGAGAGTCTCCTCGTCCAATTGTCTGTCGATCTTCGCACGCAACCAACGGTAAGGCTCAGTAATGAACGTTACTTGGAAGCCCTTTCTCTCACGTCTTTTTTTATTTCAGGTGTTCATGACGGCCCCATCATTTTCGGTTCTCCTAGAACACTCTCAATGACGAGGTCGTTCCAAAGCATTCGTCCTATTGGGAGGCGCTATATGGCCAGTGACTCTTCTGGTATCCCTGCCCCCGGATCCAAAATCAAGGCCGGGTCCTTGAACCATTCAAAGAACGCTTCTCTCCCTCCCCCTTCTACCCATCCGTCCGCATTGGAGAGTTTTTATTCTCGCATGGTTCAACACCCTACCCAGACCACTGCTGAATTTGGTTCGCAGGTCAATTCTTCCTCCGCTGGTCTCCTCGGCTCGATTTCCGACCACCCCTTGTCTCTGAGGAACGTTGTGGCAGAGCCATCGGCCACAGTTCCTTGCTGAGCGTGTCCATACGAGCCCTGCCTTCAAGCAGCAGCTTCTCGCCATTATTGAGCTGTCCAAGACGGATCCGCAAGCGAGCCAGGCCGCGGCTAACGCCATCTCCATCCTTGTCAGGGCCAAGGTGCGGTTTAACGGGGCCGATCTACGAGGCATTCGCGTGCCTGGAGCCAACCTGTCTGGAGGACAGTTCGATTCGGCACAGCTGCAAGGAGCTGACTTGACTGGGGTCAACCTCGTCAGGGCCTGGATTCGACAGACCGATCTCAGCAACGCTTGTCTGGGTGGTGTTCAGTTCGGAGAGCTGCCGTATCTAAAAGATCCCCACTGGATCATCACATGTGCTTATTCCCCTGACGGAAAGACCATTGCCGTTGGTCGCGACCGCAACGACATCAAAATCTACGACACCACAACTTGGAAAGCGGTTCAACGACTTCGGCACAAAGGCTGCATCGACTCCATTGCCTACTCGCCTTCTGGCCACCAACTCATCTCCGGAAGCGGAGATCGAACTGCTCGTCTCTGGGATTGCCGGACAGGAGAGTGCATTTTTGTCCTGGAGGGGCAGGATTTCCGAGCGGACGTGGTCGCGTTCTCACCTTCTGGCAAGCAGGTCGCCGCAGCAGGATTCGGCAGCGTGGTGAGAGTGTTTGACGCTCATACGGGTGTTCTTGTCCATACCCTCAAGGTCCATGCCTATTCCGTGAACAGACTTGCGTTTTCACCCGATGGACGTTGGATAGCATCCACCGGTAGCGGGGACAAGTCGATCCAGTTCCACGATACCGAGACTGGAGCCCCAGGTCTCGTTCTGAACACTACTTACGGAGAGATCTATTCGCTTGCATTCTCCCCGAATGGCCGGCGGATCGCTGCAGGGCATAGGAATGGCGAGATTGCGCTATGGGATGCGGCCACGGGCAAACCGGGTCTTGTCTTGAGCGGTCATTCGGAGTATGTCGGAGCCTTGAGCTTTTCGCAAGACGGTCGTTGGATTGCTTCAGGCGGTGATGACCATAC